TGTGAACCGACAGTCTGTAGAATTTTCCATCTGGTGTGGGTGAGTGATAGTCTGCTTTGATTTTGGTTAAGGTAGATTATCATTTACAGTGTAATCAGTGAGGGGATTCTGCAGACTGTTGAGGGTTCAGCCTCCTGATGAGTCAGTGAAACTCCGACGAAACAGTTTGTCACAGCCCTTTGTTTGTTGTCCTCTTTTCTCTCTCTGCCTACGTTTTACCGGGCAGTTCTGTTTGTGACGATATATATATTCAGCCTCTTGATGAGTCGGTGAAACTCCGACGAAACAGTTTGCCACAGCCCCTCGTTTGTTGTCCTTTTCTCCCTTCTCCCTCTCTGCCGACGGTTTACCGGGCAGCTCTGTTTGACTATATGTATTATATTATTTTTAATTTTGTCTTAAATTGTTAGAGAATTTCGATGTGACCCTGAGGCAAAAGTTGTTCAGTTAATTTTTCTGCATCAAATAGTTTTCTTTAGGATTTTTTTGATTTTTATTTATTTATTTATTTTTCGCTGGGCCCTTCCGTGGTCCTTGCACGGCCGGGCTGCCCGGTCAAACAAGGTGGCCCGGGCGGCCCGGCTGACAGCCCAGCCAGTAACTAAAAAAAAATATAAAAATGTAATTGGAGATTGACACAATGGGGCTGCAGAATAGCTGACCCTCTTCACAGATCATCGTTTGGTCTCGTCGCCCCAGGTGCTTCTTCGACCTGTTGTGTACCCGTGTGATTCGCACACCCTCTTTATCTGGTTTATGTTACCTACCGTCTCTTTGGACCTTGTTGTTGTTGTTGTTGTTGTTGTTGTTGTTTTTTTTGCGCTGTTTTTTCTGAAGACCATATCTAGCTGTGCGTTTTGCAAATATAACATCTGGAGTTTATTTGTTGTCACTGTGGTCCCCTTTTTTTTTTTTTTTTTTTTTTTTTGGGTTCCTTTTTTTTTTTATAATAATAGTTAATATTTTTTTTTGTAAAGATAGTTTTCTCCATCCAGTTTTTTTTTTCTGTCGTTCAGTTTCAGTAGGTAATAAAATTCATTTTTATTTTTATATTCTTGGATTTGTTTTTCACAAAATTCAATCACTCTGACAGAGTACGTTGCTTTCTCTCGTTTTACTGCGATTTTGCCTCTGTCCGGGATAGATAAACGGGGCTATGGTGCCTTCTAGCCAAGATTCGTTACATGCGCCTTGCTAGCGGGAATTGCGCGCTTGTCTGCAGGGTGTGTGCTTGCGAGACAGAGGTTGTTGGTTAGTTCTTGCCAAATTGATGGGGGCAGAGGATAAGGAAAGAAGAGCTGTTTCAAAATATGCGATGCCAGCATCCGACGGATATTGGGGTTGGACTGGAATCGAGGAGCAGGGCATGCCGGCCGTCGCGTCGGGTGTGCTGAAGGCGCAATCACGAGCCACATGTCGCGCTATTCACAGTCAGTTGTCCGCTGGATGGGCAACACGAGGTCGAGTTTTGGCCGGTCAGGAGTCAGGAACGCAGCAGCAAGGGCGTCATTCTCCCTTCATCTCGGGCTCCCGGATGGCGGATCATCTCGGTCGTTTTACACGCGGCCGACATCGCTGTCAACGTCTTCAACGACAGTCAGGCTGACCGTCTCAGGCGGCAGCTATGGCGGTGCGGCACACTCGCTAAGGCTGCTGGCTTCGTTGTCTGGCGGTGCTTCTTCTGCCCCGCCTCGCAGATCCGATGACATGGACGCTTTCGGCAGCGCTGGCCCTCGATGGCGCACGCGCGCGCACGCCAAGGTCGGACTCACCGGGTTGGTGCTGGCGGCAGGAGTTATCGCTGGTGTGCTAGCAACAGACCGATCAGACGGGCTAGATTTCCCAAAAATCGACACTCGCAGCATGCATGACGCTGCGCGGTTTGCGCAATCGGTCTCTCACAAAGCTGGTGAGGCCGCCATAGAGGTTGCCGACCATGTCACAATGATGGTGGCAGCCCCTGTGCGAGGGGTGTTGGATCTGCTGAGCTATGTCACTGACGGATTGATCACACTCGGTGTTCTTGTACGATCGGTTCGAGCGGTGCTGGGAGTTGATCTTACTGAGGATGAGGATGACGAGGAAGAGTTGGAAATGGTCAGACCGATGGCTGGGGGGCGGTTGCAAGATTCTGCCAAGCAAGTCACAACGGTGAGAAGGAAGACATCTTGGTTTGCGCCACGTGTCGGAGCGTTGATTGCGGATCTGGCATCCTGCCGAAGGCGGAGATATGCGATTGCGACATCTGCCGATGGCGCCGTTGTTGACTGGCTGCTCGAGTCCCTGGTCGATAGCGACTGCTGGCGGTTGAAATTGGAGGCTTCGCGCGCACTGGCATCCTTGATTAAGGATGACTCTGTGAGAGATCTCGTACTCTCCAGAACCCATGCAATACCCATCTTGCTTCAGTACGTCTCCACGGCTCCGTCGGCTGTTGGCTCGAGGTTGATCGAGAAACAAGTTGTTGCCAGCAAAGCAGATTCTGAAGATAGACAAGGGGACCTAATGAAGGGAAAGAAGAGGCCCCACGGAACCGAAGGTGATGCTATTGCCAAGTGGCCTCTCCTTTCGGTGATTTTCGACCTCGTGACCTGTGATCATTGTACGGTCGCTGTGGCAGGTGGCTCTGATGATGATGACGGAGATGGAGTGACAAGGTCTCGTCGCCATGTGGCACTCCCAGCAGAGGCATCCATGGAAGACATATGTGCAGCCGTCAATACTTTGACGGAAGGGTTGGTGGAGAACGTGGGAGGAGGAAGCCCGTTCAACGGTCAGAATTCTGGCACCCCCCCAACTGGACGGAGAGGCGGACATGGTATCGGCATGGGTGTGTTGGGCGACACTGCAATTGTGGGCCAGAAGACAGACCCTACCGCTACTGTGAATGGCGCTGAGCATGCCAGGTGGTATGGAGCTGTAATCTGCCAGGGGGGCGCTGTATTGGGCCGAGAGGATGGGAGTGGGTATGTGAGGGTGGTAGAGAAAGAAGGAAGGTCGCAATTTCTCCCCTGGTACCCTGGGATTGAGGATCTTGTGCAAGTGGCTGTCAGGAGAGGGGTCAACGGTCTTGACGGTGATGACGATAGCGATCTTGGACGAAGGGGTGTTTGGAGAGGGCTTATCAGTTGGGGTCTGGGACTAAGCATCCAGGAGGGAGAAGGAAGGAGTGGGTCAGTGCAGGCTGGAATGGGTGCATCATCGTCATCGTCGTCTGATCTTAGCATAGCCGACCCGTCGGCAATTGTGGGGCAGGCGCTGGCAGTATCCCTGGCAGCATGGGCGCTTGCCTCTTGGGCAACTGCTTCTAGTACCAATTGCTCCAAAATCGCTGCCGCCGATGTCGACGGCGAGGCTGTCAAACTTGCTGTCCTTGCAAAGCAGAGGAGTGTGAAATGGCATGGAATCAAAGCTGCGCAGCGAGTAATTATGGAGGGAGGGAGGGGGTCAGAGGAAGTGGGTGAAAAGTGGACGAAGGCTCTGATGACAGTTGTTGCATGCAGCACAGGCACAGGCGCAGGCACAAGCTCAGGCCCAGGCCCAGGCACAGGTACAGGAAAAGGCACAGGCACAGTCACAGTCACAGTCACAGGCACAGGTACAGGCACAGGCAAATCCGCACAACTTAGTCTGGCCGCAGGATATGACTCTACGATAATCTGTTTGGCGCTGGAGGCCTTGACTTCCTGTGTGACACGCAGCAAGGCAGCAAGACGATGGATGTTCGAGACGGGTCTGCCCCAACTTCGCGAAATGCTTAAGGCAACCGAAGGTGATAAGGAGATTGAGAGGAGGGCTTCCGCGCTTGTTGCTCTGTTGGTGACGACACATCCTGATGGTCAGAGTCTGTCGTTGGATGAATTCAAGAAGTGGACGCCGGTTCTATTGAGATGGGCATGTGGGATGGAATCGGAGAGCGAAACACGTGGTTGTGCTGTTGGGATCTTGCACTCCACGATGAAGAGCCTAGGCCAAGGCCGAGCCACGATAGGGCAGGCATGGCTGGCGAGTATGCTGACAACCATGGTTGTCGACTTCCCGGCCGCTGTTCACCTCTCACCGTCTGTGGGCTTGGAGGTGACAGGGGAGGATCGTGGCGGCAAAAAGCCGGCACCCACTTCTGTGGGAATCTTTCAGAGCCACATACTCAAACAGGCAGCTTCAGCAGCAGCAAGATTGGCACAAGTGGTTGTCCAGGACTCTGCTGCGGCAGCAGCTGCAGCCGCAGCAGCTGGCGGCGAAGACCAGCTGCAAGCGGAGGCACCATCGTGGACATCTGCTACAGTAGCTCAGTCTGTGTGGCGCAGTGGTGAAGACTGGCTGGGGGGTGGGTCTGCAGGCAGCAAGGCATCGACAACCGCCGGGACGAAGAAACCAAAACCGGTTCCTGCCGTGGAAGCTGCGGCAGCAGTCTCCAAGGCTTTGAAGGCAATGTCAGATTTGTCGTCAGCTGATGTGAATCGCCAGCGCTACATTGTTGATGCAGGGGGGGTGTATCTTTTGAGGAGCATGATTATCGGGAGTGACTATGCGAAGTCTCAAAAACCGGCAGAAGTTGGTGCTCCGCAGCCTGGAAGCGATATCCCGAGCAGGGGAACGGGAGAGGGAACGCGAGTGGAGGGGCTCGACACGCAGCGCCCGGTTGAGAGCGGCGTTGCTGATGCACCGACAACAAAGGGTACCACCTCAGATGCCAGCGCCTCGGAAACACAGAAGATGAAAAAGCAAGCCTTGCGTCTCTTGGCGATGATTTCCACTCATACGGATGCTGGGGCAGCCATTGCACAAGATGAGCTACTCTGCAGTTGGCTGACAGGATGTGCTGATGGGAGAACGGTGTCGGCAGACCTGAAAACGTGCAGCTACTGCCGAGCAATTCTGTTTCACGTTGCCGCTGGAGAGAAGAGGAATGAAGAAACTGAGAGAAAGCTGACAGGTCTAAGGACTAAAGATAGTCGCGAGCTCGTTGAACAGCAGGTCTGGCCACGGTTTGAGGACGGGGTGTACCTGGTAGAACAAACTGAAGATTTGGGGAAAGCGGTTGTCGTCAGGTCCACTGGAGTGCCTGAAGGATTGAGGAAGGGGCGGTGCCAGGAATACCTGGAAACAGTTGTTAGTGGAGTTGGAGAAGACAATGGGACCAATGGGACCAATGGGACCAAGCGAAGGGGTAAGTGGGAGGATGCAGAAAACACCAAAGTGGATGCAACGGAATGCAGGATGAGAGGACGTGATGGGAATACCTCTGGAACAGACATTGAGGAGGGAGCAGGTGGCAGTAATCTTGGACCGGAGAGCAATTTTGACAAGCCAGTCGAGGGCGTACAAGAGAATGATAGCTTGTTGAGGGGAGACGTCAAGGTCTCCGAGAGGTCGTTGCCAGTTATGGATGTGGTTTTCATCCATGGTTTGTGTGGGGGCCCTTTCAAGACGTGGAGGGTTGCGGGGGCGTCCAAGAATAGTGCGGAGTCGAAGTCGAAACAAGAAGCGAATGCTGCTGCTGCTGTGTCGCAGGGAAAGCCGGCTGCTGCCGTCACGGCCAGCGACTCGGAGTATAAATTTGACGGGGATTGCTGGCCTACGAGTTGGCTTGCCGATGACATCAAGGGTCTGCGGATGTTGACCCTCAAGTACAAGACGAATTTGTCGGAGTGGTCGGGAGCTACACTCCCTTTGAACGACGTGAGCTCGCATTTGCTACAGAAGCTGGTTGCTGCGGGCGTCGGCAAGCGTCCGTTTGTGTTTGTGACACACAGCATGGGGGGGTTGATTGCGAAGCAAATGATAGCGTCGGCCCTCGAGGACCCTCGTTACGCGGAGATTGCCCGCAGTCTGAGGGGAGTGGTCTTTTACAGCTGTCCGCATTTCGGAAGCCGGCTTGCGGACGTGCCATGGAGGATAGGCTACGTTCTCCGACCCGCACCCTCTATATGGGAGCTTCGCAGCAGGTCGCCGAGGTTGGAAGAGCTGAATAAGACGCTTCGCCAAATGCAGGCGAAAGGCCAGGTGTCTATCCTTAGCTTTTGCGAGAGCGCGTCGACTCCTCTTGTGGAAGGCTATGCGGGTTTAGCTCTACGGATGGAGGTGGTACCTATGGAGTCCGCTTACCCGGGGTTTGGCGACGTGGTGGTTCTCGAAGGCACAGACCATGTCAATGCCTGCAAACCACAGTCGCGCACTGACACTGCGTACGTCAAGACGGTCGACTTTCTAAAAAACTTGAAGATGGCCTTGGAAAGAGAGCAGCAACGATAACAAGTGGCATCAGAAAAAAAGAGAATACGGTAGGTATATTGAGGGGTCTGACGGACTCTGACAATGTTTAACGACGCCTGCAAGCAAGAGTTGCGCATTGACGCTGCGTATGTCAGGACGACGGTTGACGTTCACGAAGAAGAACGTGCAAATGGCATCAGAAAGAGAGCGCAGAGGGGACAACAACGAGGAACATCAGAAAACTGGGCGTACCGTACAAGCCTACTGTTTTTCACGGGGCCTAAGAAAGAGAGCAGGAGGCACAACCACACGGCGTATTGAAGGCACGGAGCAAGTTTAAACCACCAGTACTTCGAAGCCACTTCTTCCTGCAGCTTGAAATGCCCTGCGCAGTGTGTGCCACCCCAAAAAAAAAAAAAAAAAAAAAAAAAAAAAACCGAAGCTGAAAAAAAAAAAAAAGACCCGGCGCAAGCCTTCTTTTGGCTGGCCCTGCCAGCCATTTCGCTGCGGCAGCCAGACCCCGAATGTTCCAGCGTCCATGCAGCAGCCAGCTGCGTCAGCCCCATTGGGAACAAATGGCTGGGAAATGCACTGGTGGGTTTTAACCGCTTAACAACAGCTGGAATCGCCAGTCGCGCACTGGCACTGTGTATTCCGGGACGGTCGACTTTGCCCTGTGTACGTCGGGACGGTTGACTTTGCGCTGTGTATGTCGGGACGGGAACAAATGTCTGGGAAATGTACT